GAGGTGCGCGCATGCGCGGGCACTGCGCGCGGAGGGCGCCCCCGCTGGCGGGGCGGCAGCCATTACCCGCCCCGCCCCCCCGAGGTGTGTGAGCGCTCGGTCCTCACGGGGTCAGAAACAACCCGGGATGAGTCGGGCGGTGACACCGGGGTGGGTGCTGTGGTGCAGCAGCTGTAGGACACAGCGGTTAAAGCACGGGCGTGCTTGCCGAGTAGCTCTGCAAGCGGGAGCCGGGCCCCGCAGGTATTGAGGGGGAGCATTGTTGGTTCCCAGGACATGCTTCCCAACAGGGAGCGGTTTTAGGAGAGCATTTAGGGACGTTGGGAGGCATGAAACAGATAGTCAGAAGTGTGTCCTGGGGTGGTCGGTGGCACTGGGCAGCCTTCAAGACATCTCGAGCCATCTGCGTCCTTCTGTCTTACAGCAAATACGAGAAATATGTAAACCCCAGGAGCTGGAGGGTGCGTGCACTCAGTGAGACAGGCCACCACTGACATGCTACCCAGTTTTATCCAGGCCCCATGGAGCCATACTGACTATGTGAAGTGCTAAGGCTTGGACAACTGTCCCAAGCCAGAGTTGACCTATAGATGAATCCTGTATATTTTATAACTGAAACCATTGTGCTAGTAGGTATTGTACTAAATTATAACAACTCACTTATGCTGATGTAAAAACTGCTAAAGCATTGAAGTACTGCAGCCTGAACAACAGGCCCCAAGCTGAAGCTGCTAACTTGTTATGTAATCATTAACAAAGTATGTAAACTCGCTAGTGAGAGATGCAGCTCAGACAAAATACAATCAGTACTGAGGAGAGAATGTATCCAACCTCCCTTGTTTAGCCTTGTTCAAGGCTGAGAACCCACGTATTTGGCCTTCTTAGAAACATCCTTGGTTTCCCCATCCTGGAGCCCTGGCCAGGCTTTGGGTGGAATCCAACAGGAGAATGAAACCACAAATTTTCCACTCAAAACAAAGGCGCCAGCTATTCTGGCTTCTCGATCTCTGGTATATAAGGCTGGGCCCGTTTGCAGCAACTTTGGGTGCCTCACCTATGGGTGGACGCAGCGCGTAGGATTTCCCACTTGCCGGGACAGGCTCTGCAAACCCTCGCTGTAACCGGGGCTGCCCAGCTGCTGTGGGTCTGGTTGATGATAATATATGCAAGTGGTGATGTATTTTTCTTAATCTCCATTCTCTCTCTCGTGTAGTAATGATTTAATGCATTACCCTGTTTTTTCCTGTTTGCTGCTTTAAGTGCACTATTCTGCTTTTTCTTACTGCATGTTTTCTGTACTACAGTGTTACATTGGTTATCACTAGTAAAATACGCCTACTCTTTTCACTCTGGAGTCTGAGTTTAATTGGTATTCTTAATCAGCAGAACACTATGTGAATTCCTATGGAAAATTTCTGGTTTGTTAGATCTCTGAGCATATTTGTAGTAATACCTGCATTTATACAAGATCGTGAAGATCTTTGTCCACTGTCACTCCAGATGGGACTGCTCAGGTTAGCAACCATGGTGTGCAAGGGCTCTGCCTCCAGTGTGTCCTCTGACTGCCTGTTCTGTACATTGTATATTTTCTATAAAGCATGTATAAAAATCTGTGCCTTCCTGCAGTATTCCTCTTCCTTCTTTCCTAGTTTCATGGCTCCTCATGTAGTTTAAAATGGTACTGAAGTGAGGAACCTTAACAAAATGGATGCAGGACAACTAACAGAGACGCTGGACAGGCAGGATAATGCAATAAAAGGATGAGCTAGCTACAGCAGCATGAGCTCTCAGCAGGGAGGGGCTGTTGAGATAAGGAAGGAGCTGCAACTACTGAGTCCCAAGATAAGGAATGGGGACTCAATGAATAGTGAGTTGTCACGACTATGGAAATTCTGGAGTCACGGTGACCAATAGAGAAGAAGACCTAACTGGGTGAAAAGTCACAAGAGGAAGAGGAGGCATCTTCGGTCTTCATCCTGAAGACCCCTGCCCAAGACCACCAGGAGCCACTGCGCAGGCGCAATGGAGAGGGACTTGGGGCGGGATTTATGTGAATGATTTCTCAAAACTAATTATAATTTATCTCCCTATTCTCAGAATTATAATGAATATGTAAACACTTCACGCTATAGAAAGGAGCTGCTTTTGACTCCAAGGTGCGCACACTTGTGGAGGAGTGATCCCCCGTGCACCCAGCGCTGAATAAACATACCTTCTTTATAACCTTACTGGTTGTAAAGTCGTTATTCTGCATGTCAGTACCAAGCCATTTTCTTGGTATTTGCTGCTTCCGTACACGGTACGATGTAACCTTACTTAGAACACCACTCAGGTCTGTTCACCAAACATCCATCAAGCTGGCAAACCCAGTGGTTGGTTTTGATGCCAGTTTGACAATAGTAGTTCCAGAGATCTCAAGCTTGCTCTAGAAAGATCTTGACCTTCTATTTCTAAATGAGTCGTTCAGTATTAATGCTCAGGTGTACATGAGTTTGATTATTCCTCTCCCTTAAGGGTTGGATGCCAAGAGGGAAAGTTTGTCCAGGATAGATTAGTATAGGAACTTTGTTTAGTATAGAAAAGTACAGGTTATGGTAAGGTCATTTGTTCAACAACTGCAGTGTTACACAGATATGAACCATCAACTGCCTGTGATTTTATTCATTCACCAGCTACATATCTTGCTGGTTTGATATTGTAACTTGAGCGCTGTTGTTCACTACCTGGTCAGTTACTGGCCTGTTTGATTGAGGTAAATAGGTAGCACATAGGTTTTCTAGATCTGTATATGCAGTCTGGTGAATTTGTTACGGCTCCAGCTTCAGCAGTAGATATGCCCAAGCTCTGCTTGTAGCACAGACTACACTTGTCTGGTGCTCTGTCTGTGTTTGGGTGTGCCTGACATTCCTGATTTAACAGCTATAAATAGCTGGCAGTGTGAAAAGGCTGGTCCTTGCAGGGTCTGTGTTACAGAACTGTGCTTGCCCGATGGAAGGAGGGATGCTACTGAGGAGCTACTAGTTCAGCGCTTCTGGCTCGTTAGGCTGATTCAGACCCACTTGTTTCAGGGCCTAATGCTTTCTTAGAGCTTGTCTACTGAAGTGACATCAAGACTGCCGCTCTGAACTCAGTGGCTTGTATCCACTAATGTGTGAGACTGAGATGAAGCTACACGTCACAAGGTCACTGGCTCACTAACATTTATGGAGGAGGGCTGAATTCTGCACTTACATTGCCTGTATAAATTGGATTAATTGAATTATTAATCCATCAAAAAAGGCTATGTAATCACAGTAGGCTTCTAATTTAAAGCATGCAAACACTAATGGGTAAAATGCTACGTGATTAATGTCAGTTATCATACCTGCAAGCAGTAGCCTCTATGCACAGACGAGCATCACACTGTGAAGATCAGAAAGCCTGTTCTACTAAAGGGGTGAAAATTTCAAGCCTCTGATCAATAAGCCCAGAGATCCAGAGAGGAAATTCAGCTATACTCAAAGCAGCCTGTGGAGTTGGGGTTTTTTTTGTGGTTTGTTGTTTGGGGTTTTTTATGAGCTTCTCTATGCTAATACAGTTTATGTTTTCTGCTAGGGATACAAATGGGTAGGAAAAGAAATTAGGAGAAAATATGTTGGGAAAGGGTCAAGAGAGTCAAGATTCATGGTTGCATATTCAGAGTTAAGTCAGTATTTTAGGGATCTTGCCAGGAGCGTATTTTCACTGCAGCTCAGTGGAGCATTGAAGGATTCACATCAGTTAGTTTGGTTCATATGTCAGGCAATTAATTTTACTGCACCCTTACTCATATACATTGGCCGTCCTATTATAGAGTATGTGTGTTTTAGAGAACTCCCGGAAGACACTGAACTACATTGAAAAAAAACAAACATTTGGCAGTCCAGTAGTCTGTGCTGTAACATACAGAATTTGCCTGTCTTTAAATGGGCTGTATATATATGTACACTAATTGTTGGTAAGTGCTGACATTTTTATAGTGGTTGTTACAGTTTTGTAAGTAATTGGGTACGGGATATCTGTATATTGTTAAAAAAACCCCACATTTTAAACTTAAGTGACACCGCCCCTGTAAAGCTATCACAATTTTCCCAAGGATTTCTAACCTGTGACAGGATAATACAGTTTTACAACAATTCGTATACATGAACAGAGTTAGAGGCTGTAGTCAAGAGAAGAGCAGTACCTTGAGGCAACCTGTGGCAATAGCTTGGAGTAGGGAAGGATCTCTAAAATGTTTCCTGGTACTGGTGAAATTTGATTCTGGTTTTGCATAAAATGACTGATTGGAGAGAAAGTCTGATCTTCACATTATGTACAGTACCTCTAGTTGCAAAGCCCAGCAGCTTCTTTCATGCACTTTTTTTCACTATTGAAGAGCAATCTTAACTCATTCTTTCTGCTGGATTTTCTGATTTTAAAAAATTACATTATTAAAATACATAGAGTTTCATAAAATCAAATCTAAGCAAGTATTTCACACAGATATTTTGAAATTGTCTTGTGTCTTTAAGATTCATCAAAATATTTTTCTTTTCAGTCACCTTTCTCTTTCTTAAATATTGTTGACTGCAGAAGAGAAGGAAGTTGTCAAGCTCTCTTAACCTTGGCTATTGTAATTAGCACTCTGAAGAAGAGAAACAAACATACCTCTGGAGCTATGTTCATCTGAAATTAATAAAGTGTGTAAGGGTCTGAAAACTAGCAGTTTATTTGATCAGTGTCAACTGCTTTGTTCCACTGAGGAGAGTGGAAGGATGATGAAGACATGGATAGTCAGCTTTATATCCTGTTTTTACACAGTTTGATCCAAATATTCAGAGCAGTGATGGATTTTAAAAAAGATCCCACTCAGACTTGTTTTTCAAGGATATTACAAACAAAGCTTCTGCCAAGCTACTCCCCAAAGCAGCTGTTCAAGCCAGG